AGAGACTAGAATGCGAGCCTGTACTTTCAGCTTGTCTCTTTGCTTGGCTGTCAACAACGAATTGTCTGTTATATCAGCAGATCGTGTTGATATTTGCTGTCCAGCATCAGTTGTCTGCATTGGTGTTTTCTATTGCGAAAAATATAGTGTAAATGAATGCAACAGCTCCTGAACATACGCGCATGCAAGATATGACAAAGCATTATACACTGACCAGCTCGTCCTTGATACGAACCAATAAATCTATTAGTTCTACTTCATCCTTGCCAAACATCCATTTACGCACGTCATCTTCACACAATACTTGCAAGTATCTTCTGCGTAGTTCACTCTGTGCTTCGATTGTACGTTGATGCAACCAGGTTGCAAAATTACCGCATTTTAGGAATTGTTGGTAAAAATTTACGTATACCTCGGTCGAAGTTGCCGAAATCTTGGATTTAAACGGAATCTGTGATCCTTTTTGAAGAAGATGGTGATAGTGACCAAGATGATCATGTCCATCCCAGATTGTTAACGATAATCCTCAATTATCAACAGTTGTGACGTAAAGGAGAAAGAAATCAGTACCATGATCTTGCAATGACTTGAGGAAACAGTCAGTTTTAAATGGCTTTAGTTGAGGCGGTTCACGTGATGATGAAAGCGACCTTGATTTGTATGGTAAACAGCGTTATTTAGGTTGCAGGGGGGAAAAAAATCAAAAATTTCAAAAAAAACATGGATTTCCAACATACACGTTTACAGGTATTAATGTTGAAAAGTAGCGATTCAATGGCACCAAGAATTTCTCAGTCAAATCAACAAAGTAACGCCTCAAGGTATTGTTCACAAGATAGTCTGCCATCAGATAGACACAATTAGAATTATAATACGTCAACGATCTCGCATTTTGGTTGTAGTATTACTCTACCTGGTGGATAACCCTTTGCTATGGCGGCTGCTGTTAGTTTCAATACCGACTTATCCTTGGCAATCACCGGTTTACGCTTTGATGTTACTCCCTGGGTGCGATACACGAACAAATATAAATTTCAAAGATCGCTCAATTAAATGCTAACAGATATGACCATTGTTATTACCTGTACAAAGTCTAGCGAAGATGGATTGTTGATATATCTCCAGGATGTTTCCGTCGCGCGTCTGATAAAAGTTTAGAATAAACCATTTGCTCTTACATCATTATTTTTTATTTATACCAAAAACGCTTACCTTAACTTTGGTTTACCAACTCTTATTATGTTGGGCCAGTGCTGCATGGCTTTATTAAAAAATGGATTAGTTACTCCAAGTATTATATTTGATGGTGGCTATGATACAATAATGGGTATTAGCTGCAAGGCGAACAAGTAAATCATTTTCTAAAAAACATAATCTCAGGAAAAAAAACGCAAGATAAATGTTTACTTTGTTCTTTGTAACAAATGACTTGAAATCTGTATCATGTATTGTGAAATATGGACGATAGTCTCCGCAGTACGGTATCTATTTGATTATAGTTATATAGCCAATTAGTAAATTATACTTGTACCCAAGTCTGCTGCTCTTTCCCCAACCAACTCACTGGATTAATAAGATCAACCAGTTCAACAACAGCCTCGCTACATATCTTCGGATCAGGAGCCATTAACGCCAAAGGCTCGGCAAGTACCATCAGCTCCCAACACAGCCACAAGTCTTTGATCATATCTCGAAAATGAGAGAATAAAGTTTTCGGAGGCAACGACGCGAGAATCTGCGTTTCTTGTCTATAGTTGGCCATATCGAATGGGCTAGTCTCGAGCAATTGGGGTTTATTTTTCTGTGGTATCTCAACATGAAGAACGTTACCAAGAAACGGCAGTTCAAATGTTTTGCCTGGAGATGGGGGTTTCCTGTAATAAAGATATCTGTGAACATGGGTTTGCTAAATCTGACTTGAATATAAAGCAGTATTAATAAGAATAACAAACCAGCTAGCCACATTATGACAAGCTGCCTCAAGCATAGGCTTTCCCATTTCAAAGTACGCGGGACCCAATATTGATACGAGGCTTGAGAATAAACCGACATATGGATATGGCGATAAAAATACCAGGGATTTCTAATGATCAATTTAAACATTGAAAGTTAGTTCGAGTATTCTCATTCTTGAATGCCGTCGAAGCTGGCAGCTGGTTACACGATACATATTAAAGGTCTTCTAAACGACAAGATTCCAAACCCTATTTGCATACATCTTCCCTTCCAATAAAGATAGTTTGGTAATGAAACAGTATCGAAATTTGTACATGATTTACGGACGTTATCGTTATATCCAGCTATGACTAATCCACAAGTAAATCAGCCATTGCTGCTGCAAACCTGAAAATATCCACGGCGGATAGTCGGGTCTCTCTTCTGTCTAAAGAATACGTATCCGTATAAAAAACCAGAATCTGTTTCTGGACCTATGAACCGTACAGTGTAAACAAGAGATACCTCAAAACACTTTTGTTCCTCCCTCTCCCCGATCATCGAATTCAATCCAGCATTCTCTCTCACGTTAACCGTTACGAACCTGAAGCAGTCGCTCTGTTCCGCAAGCATCTCATTCTAAAATTGTACACTGTATCTCCTTCGTCAAAACAATTCGAATCAGGAAATGCCAAAAAACAAACGTTCCTTTTCTCCTCCTCAGTCAGATCAGATGACGGATATATTAGATCCATCGCTTGTCCCAACTCCAAGTCAAACTTGACCACACAAAAACTTAATATCCAATTACGAAAACTATCCAAAGCCAAAAGTTCGATATAGTCCCAACTCGATCTTTTCTCTCCCTCTTTTGTTGCCTGTTCTTGGACTTTCTCGGATTGTGTTGATGTGGTTGGAGGAAACGATGATCCGCCAAGTTGTTTAGGCGAAGTTGATAACGAAGGTACTGATGTACTATTAGAGAATAGTTCATGGTCATCGTCACTGAATGGATTACGTGCAAATGTTGGCGTGAAATGTGCATCAGCTATATTATTCTGTAGCGAACGATGATCGGCCGCATCGGACGGTGCCTTTGCAGACTCTGATAATGATCTTACGCTCGATTTCATAATATTCGATCTAGAAAGCGATTCATTTGCTAGAAAATTGTTACTCTTATTAGTTGACACGGGCGGATAATGAGCTACTAAATTCGTTGTCGAGGCACTTTTACTTGATGCCTTTAGCGAAGATGATTTGGTTAGCGAGGAAGATAGATACTGAGAGTCTGTCCTGTGTGGAGTGCTGAAAGAGGCTTGACGACTTAATACGTGGACTTTTGCTGATCGACTCCATGATAAACTCTCGGCTCCTCCTTGAAGTCCAACCGAAGGTTTGCTGTTGGGAATTGGGTTACCAGTAATCGGAGACGTTGTAGAAGAAAGTGACGGTTCTTCTACGGGCGATTTCTGGGCAATGGATGAGGTCTGTGCCTTATTGGCTGAGATACTTTGACTCATCGATAAGGACTACTAATCATGTAACATAAATGAAGTCAAATAAATTATATTCGCACGATTTAGCCAAGTGTTGACAGTCAAAGGGGTGGGTTGGACGTTAAATAATGAATCTGCATTCATTCTCATCCCTATCAGATTTTGTTTGTTAAAATAGGTAATTGGGTTACCAAAATCGATGTTGATTTATTTAACATTATGCTATTTTGAGTTGAAACAACAACACAGATTGGATGTCGGTTGATCGTACAACATCTGCATAACCCCAATCGAAGAAGTTGTATATTTGGGGCATTAAAATTGCTCACTCTTCTCTTGGCACTCGTGCTCAAATACAGGAAAGATCTATACTCCCACCTAAACTCTCAAGTGTCCTCACATCACACACATATCCCCTCTAGAGTTTCAATGCAACTTCTCCATCTAGCCTAAAATAGGTAGAACGTTGAAATAAAGTCTTACACAATTGATTTTGAGCATTAATATCACCATTACTGTTCGGTTTATTTCTAAATGAGGTTAGAGCGCTTCCAACTTGAAAAATGGCGCACAAGTTTCGTTTTTCATCAAAACAAGGACATATGGAATTCCCTTTTTGGTAACTTAGAATTTAGCAAAATAACGTCGAGTCAATGTGCGCTCTAAAGAGTATTATTGTAAAATATTAATAGGATGATGTTGTAAATTGACCTATTCTTAAGGAAACCAAGATACGAACAATTGGCGTGGTTTCTGAACCATTAAATGATATCAAAGATTGCTTACTGACATGAAAACCTTTCGATATCTCAAAGTCAGCATACTGCATATACTTTCCATCTTTCTGAATTCGCGTAAATCTGCATGCACGTCATGGTAGAGCATTAAATAATATTCTTTAGTAGATTGCTCTCGAGTGATACCAATAACCCAAATATTACCAAGTTAATGTCCACAAACTCAACAAATTCACAAACGTTGGAGAAATTGCCAATTGCTGGATTATGAATGTTCTTAACACCCTCTTGGAACTAACAATTTCGGAGAGAGGTCATTCTTAACAATTATTGTGTCATACCGCACAACGAGATATAACGAATCATGTTGAAATTGAAAGTGTCGAACATCAGTTAAAACGCGATAGCACTTATTATTGTGATAAAAATTGAGGAATGAAAAATGTTACTATTATTATTATATTCACGATTGCTACCTCTATTCAAGTTATTTTTTTGGAAAGTTAAAGACATTACTGATACTTTGCCGGAAATTAGCCAAATTAAAATTTATAAATAAAATATTGCCTAGTTGACGAACATAAAACTAGTGTGTTAAAAGGACAAGGCACGTCCATTTAACTTTCTTTTGATACGTTTACTTTAATATTAATTATAATCACAATGCAACTTTGTAACAATTTCAATTGTTCATTTTTAACGACGCGCGAGAATGCTAGTTAATAAACACCAGCCACCTTAGGCGATCACTTCATATTTTCAGGGGTTAGTGCCACAGATCAAGATCCACAACTTTCAACATGTTCTCTCAGCATTCAACGGTCTCAGTATGAACGACTATAGTTCATTATTAGATACACTCGGAAATTACAAAGCAAATAATAACGACGACGAAAGCTTTTATGATAACTTGTACACCGTGCTCGGATGTGTTCCAGAAAGTACGGTGAGATATAAAAGCACTTTCATTAGAGAATTAGCGGCCCTTTTTCGCAGGGTATCAAATAACATTTTCTATGTACAGCTAGAACAAATATCGATCGAATATAAGAAACGTGTTTTGACTTGTCACCCGGATAGACTTAAACTCCATGAAGACAAATCAGCAGAATTTCACAAATTGCTAACAGCGTACAAGATCCTAAGCGATCCAACAGAGCGCGCGCAGTATGATAAATGGCGTAATTCCTCAATTAAAGTCCCATATTTGATGTGGAAAGGTCTTGGTGCACAAGCGCAGGTCTGTAAAATAGATAATAGAAATAGCAAATGAATGCTCCGCAACCAGCGTTTTGTTTTTTTCTTTTTTGTTTGATAGGCGGTCCATTGGCGAGTACCTCGTGAGCGTTTGGCAATCGATAACGAGTGTCATGGTGATAAGGAAGGCGGTCTTAATCAGAGTATCATAACGTCCAGCCCTATGACAGTGGTGTATAGAGAGCCGGAAGCGCCATTTTGGAAGAACTCTGATACTGACGATCTTTATGAAAAATTTAGAAACTATGAAATATAAGTTTATTAGCGCCGAGACATACGTATCCGAAAGTTGACGATTACATAAGGTTGCTGAAGCGAACCGTTAGATGAAAAAATAATTTATGTTTTTTGATCTCGAGTCTCGAGAGTGTTAATAGCAAATCCGACAATAGTTTAGTATTAGTGGTAGTCATGTAGAGCAACAACAAGAAAGTATCTGGTCACAACACTTTGACGGAAGATCAAGGACAACCGGAAAAAAATAAAAAGTTCAGCAGGAAGACAAAGATCTACTAAAATCTACAATAACGTCAGGAAAACTTGTGCTTCCCAAACAAGGTTTTATTGGAGAGTGCAGTTAAGGTTCTTTTAAATTATTACTTATCATATGTCAATGGAATTTCCATGCAATCTTTGGAACAATGTTATCGGGATCTATAAAGAAATGTAGACAGGTTGTCGGAACCTCGGTTAAGTTAGAAAAAGACGAGACTGAAAATTAAAAACGCGTTGCTGATCGACTTTGCAGGACAATCTCAGAAACAGGTTGATTCAAGAAGGGTGAATCCGAATAGAGCGACCTTGTATTTTCCTTTTCCCAGGCCAAACCGGACTCGATTAACCCATACATTAGTGACACTAGTAAAGGAAAATGCTTTTTTAGAGTGTGTTAGACCAGTCAACAACAGCAAAAGACAAATGATCAGACATTGTGTAATTGCTGTGTACGTACAGTATACTCTTATGTCATTCTTCTTCCTTCTTTGCCTTCCTTTGTTCTTTTTCTTGCCACTCTTTATACTTTTTCTCGACATCTAACCATTCAAAATGTTGGCATGTCTTCCCTTGTTCAGCCCCATTGGCATAACACATATAAAAGTATCTCCCATAGTTAGCTTGCTTCTTCATTACGGGTCGCAGTGCACAAGGAAGGCCACATGCACACTTGGGTGTGTTATCAATAGAGTAGTCGTCGCGAAAATGTCGAAAGGTGATGTTTATTCGAGTTGGACCCGATGTCGAATGAGGCACAGAAATCTGGATGATTTAATAAAACGAAATTAAGAACGTGTTGAAATACATAAACCATGTCATCCGAACATGCTTACGGCCTGTGGACAAACTTCATGCTTCCATTCCTATCAGCGATCATTTAAATTAATTGGCTATATCTCCTCACAAAACACGTCATATATTCAGCTCTGCATCATACCTCTTGACACGGTGGCCACATTATTAACAAAGAATTGTGAGGTAAAGTGATTGAGATCATCCTTGAAGCAGTATCAGGATTCTTGGCAGAGGGTACTATACGACGAAGTCTGAATTGACGAGTAGCGCCAAGGGATAACGACCCTATTATTGGACGCGGACCTAGCAACGTTAACTGAACGTACGTTGAGAGTGAGAATGATAAATAACAGTCTCTCAAGCAATTGTCGAATATCAACACCTTAAATGACGCGTACGTTACCTTGTCACTGTGCCACCCCACACATTCTATAAAAATATATTGAGTAATATGTTACAAAGAAGTTACTTAACAAACTCACGTCATCATGCTCACCCCGCGAATTAGCATAACAATTTGCTGCTGCAACGTTTGGTTCCCATCGTCCTTGGATTTCGTAGGGATGTCTTGAACATTCCATAAAAACCACGATGTTCAGTTTTTTTTTCCCCTCCATGACAATCATTCGATATAGTTCCTACTCCCCATCCCTTTCTCAACTTGTGTCATTCAACTTACTTTTGACGCGTTTCCCTCAGTTTGTTAACGACATCCATTATAATCAATCTAGCCTCCTCCATCTCTTTGCTGAAGAATCTCGGCTCGGGCATTTTCTTTCCATTAAAATAATACTCGTCATCTCGTTTATCACCTTCTCCTTTCCTTACGTAGAACGCTGACGTATGTGTTGACTGCACCAACCGATCAAATAGGTACCATTCATATTTATACCATGATGGAGATTCTTCCAAACATTTCAATAAAAGAGATGTAGCAAGTTCTTGAGGAAGAACGTTGAGCAGTAACGTACATGGCGTGTGGTGTGAAACGTCAACTGGATCATGGAGTAGTAATACAGGTAGATTTTTACGAGCAGTCGTTGAGCCCGGTGACCATTTGAGAGCATTATTTATCGAATACGGAGTTTCTTGACTCTGAACGGATATGGGTGTTGAGAATTTAAACGTCGAGGAAGCAGCAACGTCGATTATTTTCTGTCTTTTTGGCGATTGACCGATTGTCGAATCGGTCGCTGTATCGGTCGCTGTATCAATAACTTTATACTTTCCCTTCTCATCACTTTCTATAAACTGGGTAATCTTTGTTTGTTTCAGTGCATTGTAATTCCTACGTCTCTCTAAATAAATTTCGATGGCTTGGTTTATGTCATTATCTGCAAGTCTCAATGCTTTGTGCAAGTCCTTTTTCTCTGCATCCTTGAAGATGTCTTGTAATGTTTCGATGTTTTGCGAGTGGGTTTGCATTGACTAGGAAAGATTAATCGTGGACCTTTTTACCAGTGACGCGAGAAGTAGTATGTTACACAAGATCAAGCCCAAAATTATAGTCTAATCTGGTTATAATGAACTTTGGCTATAACGAAGATCTGTTTATAATGAAGATTGTCTCCAAAATGATCATAATCTTTGCTATAAAAAGAGACCTTGGCTATAAGGAATTTCTGATTGTAAGGAATATATTACATAGAGATTTTCGAATAGTGGATATGATTGGCGTCTATTTTGATGTGTGTGACATATAACTAGCTTCCACATTCATTTGTGGCAACAAATATGAATAAAATTTCTCTAACAGATTCCATTTTCATAGAACGCAATCTTCCAAAACCATCTAAAAACGTTTATCCATCGTATACACTATCAGATAGAATTGGCTACGATACTAATATCGATAAGCTCAGTTTACATGTTAAATTTTTTCAAAGGACCGAGTTTTGGGATGAGGTTAATATATTAGAGAGACTATATTACAAAAACAAGAATCAACATCGGGTTACAGGATATTTCAGACGAGTTGCTGAGGTGATTAATTGATTAATTGGTTGGACTACGAATACACGACTTGGCCAAGAATATGCCAATTCTCGAAGACATAATTTTAACATGTGGTAGTTTATGATAATTATTATTAATCCTTTAATTTGATCCATAACTGCAAAATCAGAAACCGTTTGACAAAACTTTGATTAACTGACTGAACCTAAAATTGTCATTTTATCAAATACTGCTTGCTTCATCTTTTAGTAATTCTTCACCTTGCATTGTTAACACTATCATGTTTCAATACAAGCCAATAGTATATCAATGTTTGCATTCTTGTTAATATGAAACATTAAACTATCACATGTTAAAACTCAAGAGCAAATGTCTTTGTCCAAGTTGTGCAAACACTCATTTACGAACATTAAGAATATAACTACATTCAGGTTCGGAGAATTTTGAAACGATTGCAAGAGATTAATCTGGCATGTCTGCTGAATGACCTTCTAGCAATGTTTTACAGTAAGAGCAAGTAAGTCAGGACTCCTGATATTTTACTATATTCAGAACCTGATAAGCATTTACTCGACAATACATACAGCTCATCAAAGTCTGAGAAAACTTGGGATCAAATTCCGTCAAGAGATTCCGTTTATTATGTTCTCAACAGGCTTGTCGGATGCGATATGCTCTTGAAAAAGGTAATGTTTCAACAAAGTATGAGGCAAGTGAGCACCGGATTCATCTTGCAATAGTTAATAATTTACATTCAACATAGGCTTTATCAGTCTATTCTATTGCATACAGGTTACGAATCTTTTACAATTGCAATGCTTTTAAAAAAGTAACGCAAAGACTAACATATGTCAAACAACAGAGATTTTTGTGTTGTCATCAACCGTGCCGAGTTCATGGCCTTTGCGTTGGCTATACTAGCTGTCCTTGCGAGGTTATATATATTAACTCAAGGCTGGTTAAAAGAGGTTCAAGCATGTTACGCATTATTGAGATCGTGGGCCCACTGCTTCCCGGTATGTTTGACACGGCGTAACATAGCCTTTGATAAAAATAGTTATTAAAGATAAAAGCAAACCGTGAAACCGAGTAATTATAACGGGATTAACCAACGAGTCTATTTGAAGATAGGCTGCTGTCCATCAAGACGAGTATCTACTGTATGAAGGTCTTCCTGATCTGTTAGAGGATTTGCCGATTCAAATAAACATTGAGAACAGGTTCGATATCAAAATCTCATGATTCAATTGTTACGCTGTTACTAGAAATGTTAATGAACTAATAGCACCATATGAATACGACAGAGAGACAGAAAGTTCTATATCGCAAGAAATATCTAACGAAGGCGAGCATGATTATTGCTGAAGTCAAGTAGTAATCGGGTTGATTTATTAAATTCTCTCTTTTCTTATTTCATTTCAGGTGATATTCGTATAATGAGTGAGAATCTATCGTCAATAGTTATCTCTGAAACCGCAAAGGATATTGACTCGCCCGATAATGCAGTTTCGGAAAAAGTAAATACTCCTGAAGAGACAGTGTCTACCAACGTATCATCTACGATACCAGTTGAGAATACCCAACAACGCGAACAATGGCAAACGGTACAGAGAAAGCGTAAAAAGAACAAGGCCAAAGACGAGATCGATTTAATATTCGGTGCTTCGTCGAGTAGTGTAAAGGCCCGCACGTCCTCAGCTGCTAGTTCTAATTCTCCTTCCTCCAGTAAACAAGTATTTCCTCGCTCGAAAAAGAAGAAACTGTCTGGGCTGGGTCAATGATGTTATTCTAAACAAATCGGGTTAGTGACCCAATCGAATTAGTCTATATTACTACAATCTGTTACACGGATTAAGTATTTTATTATTATATACACGTATCTATTAATATATTAATATACGTGGCTAATAAAGAAACATTTTAAACAAGTCCTTCCCAAACGCAATCCAGAATCCAACCACCCTTCCTAATGGAAGAGTCTACTACGCACACAGATTCTCAACGCCCCTCAATTTCTCTTTCTTCACGTTCCAGTTCTTTGGCAGATATCTCAGCAGACGGTATAGTTGGTCAGGAACAAGCAGAAACGGCATTCGAGATATTTGATGACGACAATGCACCAAAAGCTTATTCAAATAAACCGGGGGTAAGAGGCAAGAGTAAAACCATGAGAATGGTACTGTTGACACAATGCTTTGCAGGGTGAGTTGAAAACTCATTGATAAGAGTGGAAGCCGAAAAATGGTATTTGCGAACTGATTTGGTTTGTTTATTTCTTGGATTCTTGTAGGCTTCAGTTCGCATGTAAGTTGTGTTTTTGAATATGCAACGAACAAAATTTGTTGGACTAAAAAATCTTCTTTATTTGGTTGATAGGGGCGGTTGAACTCGCGTACGGTATGTTCGTGATCTGCTTGAATTCTCATGATCTACTGCAAAATATAATCCATATAACGTACGCGTCACTTGCTTTTGTAGGTACGCCTTATCTTCTTTCTTTGGGCATGCATAAATCCCACATGGCTATGGTTTGGCTTGCTGGACCTTTATCAGGTAAAAAATGCAGCTAAAGCTGTAATAGTGTAAATTGGCAACTAAAAATATCTTATTAATTTCTAGGTTTAATAATGCAACCAATTGTCGGGGCTTTATCTGACAAATCGACATCAAGATTCGGCAGACGAAAGCCTTTCATACTTGGCGGGAGTATTGCTGTGGTGTTTGCTTTTATATCTATTGGCTGGACAAAAGATATGATAGACGGACTATTTGGAGAGGTAGGTTTCATAAGATGCTCATGTATGTGTGATGGTTTATCTATATCTTACAGGGTCTCGCTACTTTACATTCAGGGTACACCAATAACAATATGGATTGCTATTTTCTCTCTTTATAGTCTTGATTTTGCGATTAATGCTGGTAAGCTTTTGTGTGGATTTGGCTTGTTACTTATTCGTCATAAACTGACCGAAATGTCTATTAAACAGTACAGGCAAGTTCTAGAGCATTGCTTATTGATAGTCTGCCATCATCACAACAAGAGGAAGGGACAGCTTGGGCAGGGATAATGGTTGGAGCTGGGAATGTATTTGGCTATTTTATGTAAGCAAACATTGGGAATGTAAATGTTCATCATCGATGCAATGCTGAAACAGTCATTTCCATTTATCAATTTTAGGGGGTTTGTTGACTTGCCTGCCATATTTCCAATATTTGGGAATAGCCAATTGAAAGTGCTTTGCATTTTTGCTTCTATCATATTGATTTCTTCGAATGCTGCAATTTTTTGGGCAGTCACAGAGCAGGTTTATAGTGGTCATGGAAGGTAATCTACTGGTACAAAAATATCATGTCAATTTATAATAGAAGATATATTTGTAATGACAACTAACCATCTTACATTAGCTCTTCAAAGAATGCCTTTAGATCAACAGTTGATACTGTAGCGACCATTTTTCGCTCAATACGCAATCTTCCTAAACCTGTTCAACAACTGTGCAATGTCCAATTTTTTGCATGGATCGGTTGGTTTCCATTCTTATTCTACTCGTCAACTTGGGTAGGAGCAATCTACAAACGTGCATCAGGCGACTCTGGAGAGCATACGATCGGCGCTGCAGAACGCGCCGGCTCATTCGCCCTTTTGATGCATGCACTTGTGAGTTTATTTGCATCAATGGGACTGCCTTTCTTAGTCACCCCATCAGGGTCATCAGGTTCAAGTGAAAGTTTCTCGTGGAAGCGTTGTAGACTGCCATTGCCATTCCTTACTTTACCAAAATTATGGACGGCAGCTCACTTCATATTTGCAATTTGCATGTTGTCTACTTGGTTTGTAAGTAATGTAGCGGGTGCCAGTGCATTATTAGCGTTTGTGGGCATATCATGGGCTACCTCAATGTGGGCACCATTTTCCATTTTGGGGGAATATATAGCCGAAGAACAGCGATCAAATGGTGTTATGCCCGAGAATGGGGAGGTCCGTAGGTCCAATGAATCGACTTATAGACTAGTACAGACGCAGACAACACCGACAGATGAGGATGAAGATGAAGATGAAGGGGATATCCCGTTAACGTTATCTGCCAACGCATCACGCGTTAGTTTCCAATCTCAGCGTTCCATAGATATATCTTCCCAGTCGCCTGGGGAGGCGGCTGGCACGTTATTGGGCATACATAATATGTATATTGTATTACCACAATTCCTGGTTAACATCATTAGTAGCATAGTGTTTGCAGTATTTGAAGGCACAACTTCTCATGAGAATGCAGATGCCGATTCCATTGGGTTTGTACTAAGATTTGGGGGCCTTATGGCAGTGGTTGCTGGATTTTTGTCAATAAAACTATGGACAAAGCGGTAAATTATTGAAGAATTGATGGCTTGAAACTCGTAACAATTAAACACTTTTTTAATACGACAAAGACCAGAATGAAGTAAGGGACATGCAATATTATTGAGTGGTTTCAAAAAGGCAGCATATTTCACGAATCATTCCCTCTCACTCATTACTTTACGTAATTCTTCCTGTTCCTTTGATCCCAGTGGCTCGATTCCCTTCTTTACCATCCATTGAACAAGCCGATGTTCTGCCCTTCGAATCTAAAAATTACAAATCAGCGGCTAACCATTCTATTCAACAATACGTCCGTTCTTTACAGCCAAATACTGTCGACAATTGTACCTTAACAGCAGAAGGGTTATCCCCAAGCTCACTGGGCACGTCCGTGACTAGAATGCTAGGCATTCCATTCACGTTACCAAACAGCACGTCTGTAAGTAGTCGATCTCCGATAACGACGGCCTCGTGTGGGCGTAGTGAAGTATGATGCTGGAAATGTGAGCGAACTGCAGAAAACGGTATCCCTGGTTTCTGTAAAGTGAAAAAGATTGTTGAGTGGATATAAAAGATGACCTACTGTTAATGACATGATATACCTTAAGTCTATGTCGTAGAACTGACACGCCTACAATGTGATAGAGATGCACGATAAATAATAAATGCAGAGATTGGGAGATTGGAGAGGGATTGTTGGGACTTGCCTATCGACTGTTCGATTTCTCGTGCCTTTGTTAGGGAAGAAAAGTAATCATGTAGCATGCTTTTGCCGTTATACTCTACTCGGACCTCACTAATGATATTCATAATATACCTTTGAAGAACCTGGATCATCCGGCGTACCAGCCGAGTTTGATATTATCACCACGTTGTCTCTACCGAATTCATCAAGCGCTTGCTTCCATGCATCCTACGAGAGATCAAATATATCAAGAACATCTTTATTTTGAATGAGGCACAAATACATAAGATGGTACCTCGAAGGGTTTATGTAAATGAGTATCGTATGGAAGGGTAAGTGTGTTGTCTTTGTCGCATACCAAGACTTTGATTCCAAATTGTTTTAGCCTACTGAAAGGGATAAACCGAATGTCTGCGTTTGATGTTACAAAATGATGTGAGGAATGTTTAATCTTCAGGTGATGATTTCGTTGGGTTTACCTCTGGTAACGATGGTAGGAACTAGAAGCTTTGGATTTCGTAGAACGTTGATAGCATAGCGGATAGGCTGCAAGTTTAAACCTTGAACCATTATCGGTTGAGAAAGATAGCATTAGTTCATTGGTCGATCTGGTCAACATGCAAATTTAGTATAATAATAGTCGTGGTTGATCCCAATAATAGTGACATTCTAGCACTACAAATCTCAATGGGCCACAAACGCTGAATTGTCGCCTTTTTGGGTGAACCATACAGGTAAAGAGTCTACGTTTATAATTGGGGCAGACTGCAACAAAGTGAACATTTGATCATGTGAGCTAAAAGAGGCTGATGTGGCTGGAAAATAAACTAATTTAGCTGTATGCATTTTGGAGAGGCTTTGCTCAATTTATAGCTGTGGCTCATGCCCAAATTCAGGAACTAAATTTTAGTGACATTTTAGATCTATTGCAATGCGACTAAATCTCTTAGCTAATATATATATTTTTTGCGTTATAAGCGAATGTGACTAGCATCCGTGTATAAAAGCAAGATGAATTCACATTTACCAAAAACAAAAACACTTGATGCAACGTGTTTTCACACAAAAAGACTGTATCTAATTGCAAACAAGACATTTTGCACTATTCAAAGAGCTGTTGTCTAATAAACATGGTTCATTATATGGGGCAGACTGCAACAAAACCAGACAAAGTGAACATTCTTAAATAAGAGGCTGGTGTGGCTGAAAGTTAACTAATTTGACTGATGACGTTTTGAAAGTAATTTGGTGCTCATTCATTAGTTATGGACTTGTTAATTTTAATGTTCCCCCTATCATACCAGAAGGTGAGGAATATAAACCATAACAGGATTAATATAGGATTATGCATGAAAGGATTGACAAGGAAGTGCAGACACTCTCAAGATTGAGCAATAATGATGGCATTCCAAAGGTTCTTTTTTCGAATGAAAATTCCTTTGTCATGGAACCTGTTTGTGACAAGATTGATTATTATGAGAAGAATAATTTAGATAGAATAATTGACACACTACAGCAAGCACACTCCAAAGGTATTCTGCACAGAGACCTTCGAAAATGTAACATTCTTAAAGACAGGGATTCTAGAACCATTCGAGTTGTGGATTGGGGATATGCAGTTGATGTCCACACATCTCAACCATTTGCTGGTGGGCTTGACTGTGCATCAGACTTGGCATTGAAATCAGTGATAGAAAGAAGAAGTATTGTTTATCAGAAGTCAGATGACCTAGTTAGTTTATTAAGAAGCTTTTACCTCACTTTACATGGATGTAATGGGTTGGACATATTTGCCTTTGGAAATAAGGATTTTCAAGGGCATGCTGAAAAGACAATGGCTTTTTGGAAATCCCATGGACAGTCGGAGCTCTGGCAGGAGCTTTTTCAACTTGCTGAAAGTTGTGATTATCAAGGGTTGAAGAACAAGATTGCAGAACTATATTGAGTTGCTTTTACAACCTAACACATTTATCCTGTCATACACCAAAAAATGAGGTGTTTACTGCATGAATGCAAAGTAATATCCTGAATGCATGGATTAAATAAACTATAATGATAGTGATAGACAGGATCTAATTAACGTGCTAGATAGTGGCTTCAATAGTAATAGTGTGTGGTCTATTAGTGATCTTTGTGTCAATAAAATTGCTTAGCTTATATTTTCAGACTTTATGTATCTTGTATAATTACCATTGATGATAAAACTAATATATAGGATTACCTGTATATGAAAAATTCTAACTATAACGGTTCCACCGAATATGAAAAGCAATACATTTTTTGGAGATAGGTTGCAATTGTGGTTGTTCAAAAATAATTCTGAGAGAAAATTTTGCCGAATTACGTGAGGCGTTTCAAGCTCTCTCTAGATCTGAACAAGATATATTCTTAATGGCCCAATTGAAAGCAATGAATGGTGGAGAAATAACTGCTAGTCGACGTCTTAAAAAGAAAACGCGTACTAATAAGCGAACTTTTTATTATTGAGATCGCCATACGCCTCTTTGTCAGAAAACGTATTTCAATATGTTAAGAATTGGTCGCACTCACTTCGAAAATGTCAGAAATCACCTAGCAACGAATGGTATAATACCGCGCATTCATGGTAACATAAAACGAGTGCCGCGATGAAAAACCAAAATAACCATTGATATAACCGTTGCTACCGCCGTAAAGAATTTTCTCGAAAACTATGCTGAAATTCATGGATTACCAAGTCCTGGTAGAAATGTTAATCGCATTACTCAATCGCTTACATTATTGCCAGCTGAAACGAGTTACAAATCAGTCTATCGTGATTTTATTGCAGGTCTAGAAAACGATAGTACGTTGAAATTGTTAAAATATGATGCGTTTCGCAAGTTATGGCACCAATTAACGTCTTATATTCAAATCATGAGTCCAAGAACGGATTATGTGACACGTGTCAACATTTTCGGAACGGCTTGCAGTATAATGCTCGTAAGGAAGAAGAAGCGAGAGACTTACTAAAAAAATTCAAAGAACATTTAGTTAAGGCTAAATTAGAGAGAAACTATTACAATAAAAATACTAAGCTAGCAGAACAACAGAGAAAATTGGTAGATGAACATTTTATAAGCGGAGGCAAAGCTAATTATTGTAGCATTGATGTTACTGCTCATTACAGTTACGATTGGGCACAAAACGTTCACGTGCCCCATTCCGATCAACAGGTAAGTAAGATTTATTATCTTAGTCCACGTAAAGTTCATTTATTTGGTATTCAAGATGAAGCAGTACGTGAACAAATTAATTACGTTCTCGATAAAGACGAAATAATAGGTAAAGGTCCTAATGGTACGCTGAGCCTGGTATTCGATGGGATTAAGCGATTGAATAAAGGTGAAAAACATTTAAAGATTACTTGTGATAATGCGGGAGGACAAAATAAAAATAACGTCACCATTTGATTTTACTTATATTTAGTAATTTGCGGTTATTATAAAACTATCGAATTAAATTTTATGGTACCTGGACATACTAAATTCAAGTGTGATGGTAGTTTTGGATTGATTAAAAAACTCTATAGAAAGACAATGGTAGATTGCGTGAATCATATTGTCGAGGTAGTGAAAAGATCAAGTACAGCTGGGTTAAATAAAGCTCAGTGTTATGATAATGGAAAAGGCTTTCAATACTTAGATTTTAACTCTGTGTTGGGAATTTTCTTTAAGAAATTGGGTGGTTTACAAAAATATCAGCATTTTGTTTTTGAAGCAACTAATCCTGGAATTGTCAAAGCTCAAATGGTTGCTAATGGTGCTTTTACTGAATTTAATCTGTTAAAAATTAGAAAAGCAAACGTTTCTGAAATTACCAAAGAAATTAAATCCTTTTCCATCCTAGTACTAACCCCTCCTCCTTTGGATTACAAAAGACAAGAATATCTTTACCATAATATTCGCCTGTTTGTCAGAGATGAATTCAAAGACATTACTTGTCCACAACCAATTTATACTGGCAATGAATAAAATTACCTCCATTACTTCATTACGCGTTAATTTGTTTTCTACTGCCATAATAAGATTAATCTTTCAACAAATATTGTTTAGCTTTTTCACTTTTAATTTTTTAAGTCTAAATCAAAAGAAATATTAATGGGTATCCATTTGAGGATCGTACTAAATTTAGTAAAGCAAATGGATACCCATTAAAATAACTATATACTTAATATTCCTCGTAAAAAGGATAAAAGTATATTAAAAGAATAAATAAAAATAAATAAAAAAATGGTAAACATATTAACAGAACTCCAAGAAAATAATAAGAAACTATTAGAAGAAAACCAACAATTAAGGATAATTGCTCGTGATAGTCGGGCTACAATATTTGAAAGAAAAATTGAAAATACTGAACTTCAAGAAGAAGTTACAAGATTGCAAAAAGAGATGGAAGAAAAAGATTTGATCATTAAGAATTTAGAATCTGAAATAAAAATAATGGAAGAAGGTTCCCTTTGTCATTTAGATGCTATTAAGACCTGCGAAAATTGATACACTAAAAATCCAGGATGCTTAAAAGAAAAATTTGATGAAAGTGTGGAACTATTGGAAAAATCTCGTAACACAGTTGAAAGTCAAAGAGTAAGGATTGAAGAATTAGAAAAGGGACTAGAAGAAAATTCAGAATTATTGGAGAAGGCTCATCAAACCATTGAAAAGCAGAGAATAGAGAAAAAAGAGGAACTAAACAGAAGGGCATATTTAGACACTAAACCTTTACCAAGTTTACCAAAAAAGCAAAATAAATTTAAACAAGTGGGATTAAAATTAAAAACTGACTTCCAGCAATTAGTTAAAAAAGGTAAAATCTCAAGATCAAGAGTTAGTTGCCAGAATAGAAATAAGAACTAAATAGTTATCATGCAAGAACTCCTTTACACAGTTTTAGAACT